GGGCGGGGCCCCCGGGGGGGGGGGGGGGGGGGGGGGGGCAAGTGGGATAATTTGCCCCAGGTCCCGCAGAGGCCCCCATGAGAGTTTTTTTGGGGTCCCTGGAGCGGGTCCTTCACTCGCTCCGGGGGCCCCAGAAAACTCTTGTGGGGCCCGGGCCCCCGGAGCTTCTTCCGCTCCGGGTCTTCGGCGGCAATTCGGCGGCGGGGGGTCCTTCCACTCCGGGACCCTCCGCCGAAGTGCCCTGAAGACCCACGGCGGGGAGTCCTCCCGCCCCATACCCCAGACCCCCTGAATCCTCTGGGTGGCCCTGGTCTTCTGCTAAAGTAGTGCAGTCAAATCCATAAAGCTTAAATTCAACTCAGCCTTCTCAAAAATGCATTCAGATACTACAAGGATGGGCACTGTATAAAAAATTGGGTCCTGATTCAGTAATCACATACATACAGGTGGACCTTTGTGGCTGGGAAGAACTCAAAGGGGTCTCTGTGTGGACAAAAGGGTCAGCTTGTAAAGATCAGATTGCTGGATCAGACCCCAGCTAGCTAAATAGCTAGATTGATAGCTAGATAGCTAGAAAAAGATGCCTTAGATGCCTTAGATTGCAATATAATATGAGTCATTCCTCAGATGCCCATTATCCCAACATATGAGCCATATTTCATTTATTTCCACTTTGACATTTTCATTTTTAAAAAACATTTGGTCCCTCCAAAAGCCAACTAAAGAAAAATTTCTGAATTCCTCTGAACTCAAGCAGCACAACAAAGCATCTATTATTTTTTTGTAACAAGCATTATTATATCAAAAATCTTACAGCAAGATCATGCTATTAACAGCATGATAAATGAGGCTAAGTCAGATATTGTTTATGAAATACCTTAGTATCTCTAAGAAGCTACAAACAGAATTGTGTAAATTTTAAGCAATCTTTAAAACTCAGCTAATTAAACAAAATGCAAATGAGAACAGCAGCACCTCCGCTACTCACCACTGTGAATTCGCAGGTGTTCCTTCAGATGGTGTTTATATTTGAAGGCCTTGCCACACTCAGTGCATTTGAACTTGCGATTGCCTGCTCCTTGGGTCAGCATTTGGTGCTTGGAGAGAAAAGATTCTGATATGAATTTTATGAAAGAGGAACCAAGAGTTTTCTAGTTAAAAAAAAAACAAAATTAATGTAACTCTCTATTTGTCAGGCAAACCGAAAGGTCTGCACATACATTTATATGTCTCATCAGTGTTGCAATAAAAATCAAAATGCTGGCAGTAAACCGAAACAAATGCAAAAGTGCTTTCATATGAGCATTCAATATTTGCTTTAGAATTATTTCCTAAGTCTCTCATCAGAAATGTGTTGCTTTAAGGTATCTCATGATGAGAGAAACTGATTTGTAAAAAGATTTGTGGTTCTTATTATTCCTAGCAGCTTCTAAACATGTGGAATGCCTCTTGTTTAAAAATCCTGTTTACTGCACTAGTAGATAATACAGTGTTACATATCAGATTTCATTCATTATCAAATATAAGCGACAATATCTTCAGCATGAGGCTGTAGCTGCTGGAAAATTTTTATCACAAACCAGCAGGAAAGATTTCAGCTACCTTTCTTATGGTGGGTTCTCCTCCCCCCCAGTGCTGTGCTAAGGAGTAGGGGCAAAACAAGAGAAAAGTTGGTTGAAAGGACAAGTTAAAAGCAGCATAAAGATATAATCAAACACAGCTGACCTTTTTGAACAAGTGAGAAAAGCACTGTGACTTTGAATTATGAAAAAAAATACAGTCATCCACTCTGGATGCTCAAGGTAGGAGGTCAGCTTTTTTCAAGTAGCAATGACACAAAAGCCTATTGCAAAAAAGACAGCATAGAAACGGTATGACAACTGCTAGGGTGTGCTGAATCTTCCCACATTCCTAGTGAGACAGATGGTGTTACATGGGACACAGGGAGGTTTGTTCAAACAGCAGCAACCTTCAAAGATCAAGCAGAGCCCAGCCCGCCGAGCGCCATTGAGGGACCAGCGCTCATATGTTGCTGAGTTGCATAAACAAACAGCAACAGCTGTTTTGTCTCCCCCCATAGCCCTCAGAGGACTACTATAAACTTTAGTTGTGCCACTGTTAATATGATACAATCATTTTAATTTACTAATTGTAAATGCCATGAGCAAATGAGGGGACTTTTCAACACCAAAGCTACCATTCATAATGCGCCAACACAATCAGACTCTTGCATGTGAAATTTCAGACAGTTATGTTGGATAAATATCTAGGCATTTTAACCCAGTGTTTTTAATAATATAAAGCAAAAGGGGGGAAAACCCTCAGATTGTGTTAGATTAAAAAAATTGTATATGAGAATGTTTTTCCCTACCAGAAAACCCTGAAAAGGAAGCGATCTGAGAAACTGCACCAGAATCATTTATATTGATTTAAGATCAAGCAAGAGATACTGTTCTCTTAAAAATGCTAATTGCAAAATTGCATGATTAGAAGATGTATGTTTGCCTAACCGAATTTACCTTACGCCGAGAAAAATCTATCAAAAGATATATAGCTGATTATGATTTTTAGTTGTTTCAGAAAAATAAATATGGTATGAGGCCTATATAATTTGACACATGCACACACTCATTTATTTAAGTTTAAGACACACCAGTTGAGTTTCCATTACAATACTCCGTAACACCAGTTATCAGAGGTAATTCTCTAGGGAACAGAAGAAATAGTTTTCGTATAATATGTAAAAAGCTTTGGGATACAGCCCTTTTGAGTAATCAGTTTGTGAATGAAAGAAAGCTTCAGTCACCTGTTCAAGACACACAGCATTGGCTTAAATGTAATAGTGAAATGAACTAAATAATGCAAAGCAGTAATGTTGTAAGGTTACTTTTATCATAACAAGGAAAAATCATTTTGATTTATAACAGATATGCTAGTAGGATATATAAATAATAGTGATACTGCAATCCTAATGTGTACATATGTTACTGGTACACTCAAAAAACATAACCCATACATTTTATGGAAAGATTTACTCTAAACATGTGTAATTTTATTTTAAATGCAAAATATGCATACTTTTATGTGATTGAAAAGGTTATTCAAAAATAATGAAAAAAAAATTAGTAGATCTTTTACTATGTCTTTGAGATCCTAGTTGCAAAAATTGCAAAGTAAAACTAGGTGAAAAATGGAATTAAAATTGCTGAGATGTTTAATACTGTATAATTAAAATGCCACAGTTTCGTTCACTTTTTGAGGAACATAAAAACGAAACTAAAGTCAAGTTAAAGTGCAAATAAAATTTCTAAATTAGAAATTAACACACTCATTCGATCGTGAACATAAGACTATTAAATCATATTAGAAGAGACCATCAAAAAATCATTTAGACCTCAATTAAAGCTATTACCATTAAAAGATCTGCATCTTCAAAATGCCATGAAAAATTAATAATGATTGCCAATCAAAGCAATATCGTTTCTCTAAGGGGTTATTATAGAAAGAAATCACTTAAAACCAACCCCCCACCTGATCTGTCCCTGGCTTGTGTGTCACCATATGCCGCTCGAGCTGGGTGCGGTAGGCAAACGTGTAGCTACACAGAGGGCAAGAAAAGTTCTCCTCATTCTTCTCGTGACGGTACTTGATGTGCTCCTTCAGTGATGTCAAACGCTTGTAGCCCCGGTCGCAGTAGGGGCAGGTCAGCAGTTGGGCAAAAGCATCTGGAGTTCCAGGTGGCAGGTCTGTAGCCGAGAGACAAGAGAGAGAGAAGCAGGCCAAAAGGTCAGTAAATCAATGGCAGCTAATGGGCTTATTGCCCGGGATGGTATGACAGGAATCACTGCAATCTGCTACACTAGAGTGCCATTTCAAACTGGCCTCAGAACACACCATTCCCCCTACACACCCACAACAAACTTGTATGAATCATTTCATACTGTGCTAGAAAATTAATTAAAGTCCTTACTCTAGCTTTTTTGAAGACTTAAATAGCTGAAAAACAAAGAAATATTTTTCTCAATCAATTGACGATTTGCATTTCATTTTAACCTGTTATATTAATATGACACCGGCCAAATCATTCTCATGGACACTTTTTCAATTATTCACCAAGAAGTAAGAGAGTTATGGGTCAGTAATCCTAAATTTCTCACGTAAAAATTCAATAGTTCAGAAACTTAAAACCATAGAGAGAGCATTTTTTCTTTTTAAATTAAGCTTTAATTGTTCTTGCTCTTTATTTCATCTACAAAATAATCTGCTGACTAAAAAATCACAATACACTAAAATTACAGTTCCAATCTTTGCTCATGAAATTCCATGCCTCTGCAGCTGCTCTTCAATTTTTAAGGTAAACACCCAGGCATGTAGTGCATTTATAATTGCAACAGCTGCAAGAAGTCAGGATAGTGGCTAAAAATGAATTACAGCCTCACCATTTTCTTCTTGCCCATTGGCCTCTGGAGTGCCAAGGCGAGACAGTTCTTCAGGGGCTTCTGGGTAAATAATGGCTGTGTCACTGCGCTGTAGGTACTCTGCTATGCTGACTGCATGCCCATCTCCTTCCTCCAGTTTCCTTTTGGCAAAATATTCCTCAAAGTCCGACGTGCAATTTGCATTCTTAACTAAAATTGGGGGAAGGGAAAAAGAAGTGGTTTTGAGTGCATTTTCCCTGTAAGATTGGCTAAGTTTATATGGTTGTTTGCAAGAAATGCTGACACTTGTGCTGGAGCTACAAGTCTGTGGTTTGAGCCTGATCCTGCTGCAGATTTTAGTCTCACTGGGCCTGCTCCAGCTCCTAACAAAGTCAGTAGGAGCTTTGCCATTGACTTTGATGGGAGTAGGATTGGGCCAAATTACATAAATGAGACCATTCATGAATCAGGGAAGCAGAAGTCTGCTGGGCCTTAATACTGCAAGTTATTCTGCATGGATGGACCTTTGGACTCAGGGAACTCCTGTGAATTCAGTGGCTCTCTGTGTGGGTACAGGAGTCCACCTGCTCAGAGTAACTTGCAGAACTAAGATCTTGGGGACCTCTACTCTATCTGCTCTTCCTGCTCAGTTCCCACTGACTCCTTCTAAATTGAGGACGCTCGGCTCTTTGCATAGCACCTCACAGGTGTAGGTCTGTAATTTGTGCATAGTGAAGCACACAACCAATTACCCCTTCAAAACTGCCTTGTCTTGTGCCATTTTTTTTTCTGATTACAAGAACAAAATATTGCTTTCTTTAAAATTCATAACATCAACCATATTTTTCTTCCTGGAAAATTCATCTCTGGGTAATTTACAATGGGAAAATACATTGTTTAAAAAATGTGTTGCTCTGTACAATTTTACAAATAGAACCACATGTTTCCAGCCCATAACTGGGATACAGAGCCTAAAGCCACTTTTACAGTCCGTGCTGGAGTTTTGCTTTTTTTCTGAAAATGTAAACCTAATTTTTTATTGTCCCTGCAACGTCCATGAAGTATAATATGTTCTCAACCACAAAATATTCTGTTGCTAACAATATGCATTTCTTCTCCCTACATCTGAATATTGCATAGAGGTAAGCTCTTGTAAAGTCTGGGGCATTATAGACAAATATTAATGCAACTAGAGGAGAACTGGGAAATAGACCATTTTCTTTCTCTAATTTTTTAAATAAAGACAATGAATGGTGGCAGTGAATTTCAGATCGTTATTTTTAACTGACCATAAATTAAATGAATAGTTTATGATCAATGACATTTTTAATGTATTTTTCTGTAGGACAAATAAGAAAGCAAAATTGTGATATATTTGATTTTTCATGAACCAGTCAAAAGTAAAATAAGCATGATTCTACTCTCCCTTACACCAGTGTAAATCAGGAATAACTCCAGTGAAGTCAGTGGAGTTGCATCAGTGTAAAACTAGTGGTTGAGAAGAATCAGGCCCAAGAAGAATTACAACAGTGCAAAATTAGTATGAGTGAGAGACAAACCAAGTCCATCGTGTTTTTGAACCATTTAGTAGCTTTGCCTCAATTTTTCACTTTTCTACAAAAATGGAAGTTGCAGGCAAGAGTGGTATGTTCTCTGAATGTGGAAAATGTTGCCCTAGGTAAAACAGTTGAACATATCTGTTTTTTTCCAAAGTAGAATTTTACCATATTTTAGTTATGAGAAATGGATAATGGAGAGAAATGATAAAATATGTTTATCAAATTTACCTAAAAACAAAAAAATCAGTTTTTATAAGAAAAAAAATTGTCTAAGTGCAAGATGATCGTTCAGCATAGCTTTGTTTGCTTCCCCTATAGCCCTGGAAGTGCCTTGATATAATTTACAGATGGAGGTCATTCTGGCAACAATCTCATGGCTCTAGCCAATTAGAATTTCCAGTTCCCCTGACTATACAGCGTCTTTCCTCTATGTACAACCTGCTGAGAATGAGTTAAAAACACAGTGGCGTCCCTAAATGTGGGTCAAGATTAGCAATGGATGAAATCAGCTGGGATAAAATAAGACCTGGCCCATGAAAGGTGCTGTGCAAGAGATAAAAATCCTCTGTTTATCGTTGGAACAGGTATTCAGTATGTACAGCTGCAGTGCAAGCTTCCCCAGACATTCGCCAATATACATCAGCCATTCTGAAGATGGACAACATGGCTGATGAATGAGTGAGATTGTTATTCAATTGCTATACTACAATGCTGAAGGAGTTTGAACTTGAGGAGCTGGTTTGGCCCATCATTGCTTATTCATTATGCAAGCGCCACACATTGAACTGATCAAATCAAATCCTCTTTCACCATGTTGAGATAAATAAGTTGTTTATATAAAAAAAAGAAACTGTCTAAACACTGAATGGAGTTTTAGCCACAAAAACCTTGTCGGGTTAAATGGCATTCTTATGGCTAAACCCATCAGTGAGAAGTCCTCTAAAATTTCTCTATAGGCCTTAAACAAGCAAATTGTTGTCAGTTCAAAGGGCCAGCATCATTATAAATTGCTGTCCACACTTCCATGAGTTTTTGACATTTTATATGGAAGGAAAGAGGATATGGAACAGCAAATTGTTGAGTTGCTCCTGATTCTTTATATGTATCTGAACAATCATTATGTCTTCTGTTCAATAACAGTGTCCACCTAACATGGTTCATGTGTTACATACAAAGTGCCAAATGCTTATTTGTAAAGAAGAACTTGTTTGTTAAGGAGGATATGATTATATGGAGGAAAGACTGGAGTTCTGAGTGCAAATTACAGTGGAAATGTGTGTGTGTAATGCAACAATTTGTCTTTTATGTTGTGGGGGGAATATAACAAAATGGTGGTTGCTTGTACATAATTATATTTACACACCGAAATGTCAGGCTGTGTTCTGGGTATGTCTTTTTCATAGCAGAGCTGAAATGTACAAAGTTAAGCCTGAAACCCCACCTTTTACTCCTCCCATTGGGTCTAGAATTTGCAGCTCCTGAGGTAATTTATGCCTGTATAGTGTTAATATTCCCTGATTCAGAAATGTTCCTTTTCAGTAACTAGGCACCACAGTATGAATTAAGGATACTATAACACCCTGAGTCTGTGGGTTTTAACCTTCAAAATGTTTTAACATTGCTTTTGTTTCTGTTGTTGCTATTTTATAGACCATCTTAAAAAACCCTTTTCATTAAGGTTGTGCACTGAGGTGATTACTTAGGTACCAAGGATGAAGGCATTTGTCTTCCCTTTCAGGTGGTGGGATGGCAACAAGATCTTTCCATAGCCCCTACGTCAGAACTGAGGTTGTGGACCCCTTTCTGGGGGAAATGGCTGGCGATCTATGTAATAATGGATGCAATAATGCCCTGCCCATTCTCCCTCCTCTTTTGGCCTAGCCCTTTTCCATCTCCATAGAGTACATACACTGGGAGAAAGGGTATTTGAACAGGAAGAGGAAATGGTCTGTTGGCTTTTAGGAAGGGAGGAGAATGAACCTTCCTTTACCCCCAGAATTGGGAGGGGAAAGGAGAGGAGCCAATGTGAGAGAGAGAGCCTGAAGGATCAGGGGAGTGGGAAGCTTGTTGTCTGCCTCTCCAGCAAATCTGAGATCCTGGTGGGGTCAAATGTAGAATTTGAACTCAGGTCCTTTATCCCCAACCACCCATGGTGGGGCTGAGCTACTAGTAAGACCTCTAATCCTGAGCTTGGGCTGTCTAGGTTGGCCCAGGAACATGATTAAAAAGCTGATTTTGATCCAGCAGGTTATACTAGCCTATTGTAATATTACAGACTCTGGGATTCTTAAATCTGTGGATTATTTAGCTTCTGTGCATATGCATGGAATCCAGGATCTAAAGCAAATGTTTATGTCTAATTTTTAAACCCCTAAAAGCAAGGGGATTTAGCAGAAAAGCTAACAGATCCTTAACTTAAACAATATTACTGGTACTGTAATATTAAAGATTAACATGAATAGCGAAGGTGGACCGTGTGCTCACCAGTCTCTTACAAGATGCTTTACTGCTAAGAATTCAGAAATTATGGAAAAATCACTTAGTATTACTAAACAAATCACCTGATTATCATTAGGTGTGCCTCCCCCTAAGCCCTTAGTTGTTTTCCATGTAAAAAGCTGCACTCATAGATTCCTTGTGGATTGAAATTACACACAGAACCCACACTCCTATCTGTGAGTCAAACATTTAGTACAGTAGGTGACCTCACCAATAATAAGTAATATTTTAATTAATTATTAGGGCATGGAGAGTAGAAATATTTTCAGTTCCAAAGGCTGATGTATCACAGCCTCATGCTAAACTAAAATACATTAAGGAAAACATTAAGGAGGTGTTTAGTATCTTTAAAAAGAGAGAGAAAGAGGACACTCAAGGAGCTTGGGAGACCAGTTATTTCTTGTGGGAACTCTTACTGTGAGGTGGAGATAGCTGCTCCTAATCGCAAACAAAACTAATAAAACCACAGCCTTCATTAGGCAGGAAGTGACAGGCCCTCATTGGTACACATAGATTACGGTCTGAAAACGGCCTATCCTTCTAACCTGCCAAGTTTTACTTCTGTTTTCCTCTCCCTTGAAGGTTTTTTTCCTCCTTCTTTAAATCATATGAAAAACATCGACAGCCAAAGCTTATTAGCCAGATGTTATTAATATAAAAAGGGAAATTTTGTTTGTTCATTAACAGGGAATCTGCTCATCTATCTCCTAAAAAAGAATCCCAACTGTAATGAAAGTAATCGGACCAATGAAGTAAATCAAATGATTCTAACAATCAACTATTTAAAAACAGCTTATACAGTACATCATTTTGTTAAGTAGCCCTTTTAGAGACCTTTAGAAACAGTTTGCAAATTGATTTAGCATGGCTGAACTATGAACTATACCTTTAACTCTAGTGGAAGCTTTTGCTTTTGCTTGTATAAACTTTATGTTGCTTAGTATAAAAATATAGAGGATAAAAAAATGTTTAATGGTAGCCATATATAAAAGTAGCAAGGGCAATAGCATAATAAAGATCTTTCTGTTATTTCCATTCTATGTTAATGACATACTGCAGTGAATTTTTCCTAAAAACAATCACATTTGTTGCCTGGCCAAATAATAACTGTAGTTAGTTCTACCATGTGAGCGACTTGGATATGAGGTCTTCTGAGGTCACCTAGAATTGGGGAACGTTGCAGGGATAACATGCCCAGCCTTCAGGAGCAAGAAGCATTTTGTATTATTTAGCAGTGACCTCCCTGGGCAATCCAGAAGCATTCATAATGCTCTCCAAAAAAAGTCCCATCTGGACTTCCTTGGGCAAATGAAGGTCACTGTGATGTGGTCTTTATTGAGGGTGTGTCACTGGGTGAGTTGGTCCTTTAAGGGGACTGGCATTCAGCCTCACCTGTACCCAGACTTAGTTCATCTTCTTAGGTGGAGGGTTAAGTCACCTCAGTGACCTAACCACACTCAAAGTTGGTGGTTGACCATCTGGGAGGGGAAACTGAGGCAACACACTGTGGGAAATTGAGTCAATAGACAGTACTGAAGCCAGACCACGTAAGTCCTTACTACAAGGAGCATGTCAAAGAATTCCTCCTAACATCCTCCCAAAACAGTTAATATTTGTTATTTAGAGATAGGGTTTTCAAGTGTTCAGTGAAGCAAGAGCAAAATCCCCACTGAAAGTCACATGATTGAAAGTGACTTTCACTATATTTTATTTCTATTTTTCTCAATAGACAGATGTAAGGTATATTATTTCATATTGAAAAGTACCTGAGACCGTTCAGATAGAGATTGGATGGTTCTGTGGATTAACAATGGGTTATAGGATCTTTCACTTCTAAATCACAGGCTCAAATCAAGCTCAGTTGGAAGTGACCACTAATCCTTACCATCAGAGGTTTTGGTGGTATTGAAATGAGCTAGAGGAGATAGTCTAGTTCCCAGTGGAAAGATGTCCACATCACAAGAACAATCCTCACAAATGGCACTAGCTAGTACCAGGGTCGGCTCCAGCTTTTTTGCTGCCCCAAGCAGCGAAGAAGAAAAAAAAAAGAAAAACCCGATTGAGCGGAGTGATTGAGCTGCCGCTGAAGTGCCGCTGAAGAGGATGCTAGGCACTGAAGGACCCGCCGCCGAATTGCCGCCGCGGACCTGGACGTGCTGCCCCAACAAGACGTGCCGCCCCTTTCTATTGGCCGCCCCAGGCACCTGCTTCCTTCGCTGGTGCCTGGAGCCGGCCATGGCTAGTACTCTTATCAATGCTCTCAGCAGAAAGGACAAGGTCTCAGATACCACAACGACTCACTTACCCTATCTTCCCATTAGCCAGTCCCTTCAAGATTCTTTGAGGGGTAGGCTTTTGAGCAGGGTCTGAACTGGTCTACATAGTCTGGCCTGGTGTATTTTCAAGATCAGTTTAGGGGGAAGTTATCCTCTAGGATGCTTTTCAAATGCAGCTTGCCTTCTAGTGTAGACAGAGCCATTGATAGTAATAGCCGTTACATGGGTGTATAGAAAGGAAGGTGTTCCTGTTATTATTGAGGTTTATTTTAAAAAATGACTAAAGTAAGGGTTCTTCCCACCACCCAACCCAAAAATTTTCTTAGGATTTGGAAAAAAAAGGTTAAGTCCCAACATAGGCCAGCCATTATGTGTGATA